ATCCTATGTCAAAGAATAATGGCTTGTCTGATGTATCTTTCCTGAACACATTTGCATTAATCTGGCTTGAGGTATTTAACAGGTCAAAATAATTTCTGGGGTATGTGAAGCAAATTTAAACTACAGATCAAACTTTATGTGCATCATAAAACAGTTTTTTACATGCCATTTTATCATTATCTGATCTGCATTTAAAATAATAGTAAACAATGGCAGAAGATAACCCCTTGTTTCCTGAATGGCAAGTGTGGTAGATCATGTACACAATCCAGTTGTTAAAGTAATTTACCAAGACCTAAAATTAGAATAATGAGTCTATTGCTTTTTCCAAACTCTAGTAGCACATGAGTCATTATAGAGCCATTCCCTCCCTCCCCCAATTTCCTTAATTCACTGACTTCTGTTTGACAGACAATGCCATTTTGACATACCCACCAGTGTCTACAAGCTGGAACAGCCTAGTTCTGACATTCATTGGTCATGAAATGAAGTATGTGATCTGTTATTATGAGCATAGGGAAGATATTGCAGGAATGAAACAGTAATAGAGTTGTCCCTGCTTCCTACGCCATATCGTATGGAGGAAATGTGTGTGATTTTTTTTTTTTTTGAGTTCTCATATTGCATGTGACAATAACAAAATAGGCATAAGCTCTAAGTAAATCAGTACCATGCTATGAAATTCCTAATTCAGAATTTTGCATTCTAATAGGGCAGAAGACATATCTTTTATGGGCTCCTGTTCTGAAGCTCTTTGTGTCAGTATCTCTGACAACCAGCCCTTAATTAGCTTCTGGGAGGCTTGCTTAAGCTTGATATTCATAATAGATAGCAATACTCTGAGACATGAGAAGAAATATGACATGAAAAAAAACATTTTTTAAGTTCAAAAAATTTCTAGATTCTCTAAAAAAGGGCTTTATGTATTAAACTTCAGTGACCAAAATAATATAAATTTGGACCATATTCCGTGACCTTTGTCAATGAAGTGTAACGATGTGACCAAAGACCACATGCCACCAATAGAATAATTCATCTAAGACATGACAGTACGTTGTGACGGAAATACTAAAAACAAATTAACCTAGTGTTATTTTGTGAAGAATTTTTAATTATGCCATACTTACTGAATTGTAATGATAACAGCAATAGCTGTGAAGCTCACAGCTAAGACAAAGGCAGCTATGGCTGCTAACGTAATTTTCGATAAATTACCATCAACCATGCTGTGAGTCTTCATGGACTTTTCTCCACACCGTTCACCAAAGTAATCCTGATGACAGCTGTAAACAACCCATATTCCAAAATTATAATAACTGAAAACATTTTGTATATTTTAAGCTTACTTTCCAAGTCACAGCCATTTAATTCTAACATTTAAACAGAATCAAAATCACGAGACATAGAATGCATTCGAGTCAAAGATCAATTCGTATAAGAAGAAGCGATTAGTTTGGTGTGATACTCTAGGAAGACACAAATTATTTGGGCTCCTTTTATGACCAACTGTTGAATTCAGTGACTTGTTATGCAGCTAATACATTTCACTATCATTTCATGTGCTAGCAGCTTTTTGGTGGTAAGAAGAATAGAACATTATGTGAAAAGTATCTGTAGTCCTTTGTTAAAAAGAGGTTTTGTAAAATACATACTGTAAAATGATGGTTTATACCAGGGGTCAGCAAACTACAGCCCCCTGGGTCGAATCTGATGATTTGCCAAGTTTTTTACAGTGTGAAGCCTAGAATGGTTTTTACATTTTTAAATGGTTAAATTTTAATCGGTTACATTTTAACCAGTTATATAAGTATACACATAATCTTGACCCAGGAAGCCTAAAATATTTAGTATCTGGTCCTTTAAGTAAAAGGTTTGCAGACCTTTGGTTTATACATTGGAAAAATAAATGGTTTTCTGCAGCTGAGAATTTTAACGTGGTATTAGAAATACGGAATTCTACATAATTAAGGAAAACTTACGTGCACGATATTATTTTCAGATGCTCCAAATATTTGCAATCTCCGTGAATGCAGAAATTTTGAAACTCTGCATCACATGGATTTTTCTTCTTTCTGTTTCTTCTATTTTTTCCATTTTTGCTTCCTTTTTTCTTTCTTTTGGACTTATCTGAAGTCTTTTCACTTTCTGTTTTATTTTTCTTCGGTTTAACTACCTGTTCAACTAAAATTGAAAAAAAAAATTGTTGACAGCAGTCTCTCTTCATCTTGAATATCATTTTGGAGACATGAGAGAAAGAAGTCCTAGCAGTGAGAGCTCATGGAGATAATCACCATATTTGTCTCATTATTAACTCAGCTTATATACAATAAGTGGGCAAAGAGAGTATCTGTATTGTTTAGCACTTAAAAATCTGAATTTCTCTATTATTTTATTAGCTAAGAAACATTTTGAATTTACTTCTATCAGTATTATTATTATTAATATGAGTTACCTGTCTCAGAAAATCCATAAAATATTTTAAACATGTCTTGAATTTCTAATATATACCAAGTTCTTGGTAATAAGAATTAATTAAATTAAACTCAAATCACATTTGAATGTATTGTTACTGAAATGAAATAGATGAGGACACCGAAGTTGAGTGAAGTAAACCAGTTACTTGTCCTAGGACATACGGCTAGAAAATGGCAGTGCTGGCTTCTTAAAGTCTGTTATTTCCCCCACTTTATTATGTTTTCTCTTGGACAAGGTCAATGTCATTAGTTAAAGTGGGATGTGGGCATATTTGTGGATTTTATTTACTCATATTGGTCTAGTGCTCACCACCATAATTGAGAATTACTGTGTATTACTTGAGGGTGGAAAAAATTGAGACTTACACATTAGAGTTAGTTTTCTTCAACTCTCAGATTATAACATATTATAATTAATTGATATTCTTTAGGGGATTCATTTATGTGATCAATCTATTTGAAAATATAGGAGACAGATATATTTAAACTTGATACTTTAGAGATTCATCATAATTTTTTAGATCCACAGAAACATTTGTTCAATATAATAGTTATGCAGGGTATATTTTACCACATGCTAAATATAGGAAGGGGGAGTTTCCACCTTAGAGTTATGCATTTTGTTATACTAATTCTTGAATAAGTTAATCTGAACAAGTAATTAGCAAACAGCCTGGTGAAATGAAGGAAATATTATAATGGCATAATCCCATTAGTCATAATAATCCTGTAGCATCCATTAAACAGAAAACATTAGAAACACAGGGAAGGGTATCCAAGATAGAACCCTCTGATTAAGGAAAGAACAAATAAATATTATGACTATTTTAGCAAGTTATTATAACATTAACAGTAGTCCAATTAGGAGTAATGTTTAACAGAGGGGTATGCAATTTTTATGTTGACGCTTTCCTCTAATGATAAAAAAAAAGTACCACAAGTTAGAATAAGTCCACCAATAGAAACATTTTAAATGGCTATTACTGAAATTTATCAGACATATTACAAAGTTTAGACAGAGTCAAATAGTCACTACACTGATGTGCTACACTAGACATTAACCCCATGGGCTTTATAGCTATTCAAAGAAATTCGACCAACATTTTCACCTTACTTCACAATGCATTGCAATTTTAAGCACTAGCCATTTTCACCACTAACAATTTATTTGGCCTTTTGAAATGTTAACAACTTGAAACACCTTTAAGAGAATAGTTTTGAGAATCTTGACCATCTAATCATTCTTCCAAAAGTAAGAATTATAATGGATCCTTTCCCCACATTACGTAATAGCATAATTTCCAAAGCAAGGAAGTAATGTGGTGCGTTCACTTAAGCTTTTCCCACCTGCTACTTAACCTCCAGTCACTGTCACTATGGTATTACCTGCTCTCCCTTCACTAGTTCTGGGAGCCACTCAGAGGAGGAGGAATCAGGAACACTAAGGCCAGGAGAGAAGAGGCCTCATGTCCTGCCTCCATAACGATGCTACTAGGATATTTAGATCTGATTTACAGATGACCTCATCTGCCCTCAAACTCCAAAGTAATATGAGGGCACTGAACAGTACTTACCTTTTACTTTGATACCCTCAGAAAACAACATGAGAACAAAACTATGGGTCACTATTATTGAAATGACAAATAGGATTTGAGGCTAAATTGTAATTTAGCAATATATAATCCATTAATATTTCCAGAAGGATTATTATTATGTTTCTCAACACCTAGTACTTACAGCTGAAGCCCAATTGCTCCTTTCCCATTCCTTCCTTCTGTTCCTCTACTTGTGTTAGAACACATTTTAGGGAAGAGTGGTGGTGGGGAGTGGATACAGAAGTTGAGACACAGAGTAGATAGGACTGGTTGGTGTCTATGTCTGTCTCTCAGAATGAAGGTCATGCGGACAGTGGGAAAAAGCATAGCATCTGGAATCAGGGATTGGATTTCTCCTTCTGGCTGTGAACCTTGGGCAGAACATTTAACCTTTTTGTGCTTCAGTTATCACACCTGTAAAACAATTCCTACTTCATGAAGTTGTTGTGAAGATTAGACATAATAGACATAAAATATTTGTTAGCCCTCCAGACATATAGGATGTGCCACATATAGCTCTTTTCATCTCAGTTTGTAGCCTACCTACCAGGGTATACACCAGATATACACACCAGAAAGCCACTGGAAGATCTGAGGAGTGGCTTTGCTTTTAAAGCAGCTTTGCTCGCACAAACACACATCATAAGGCTACATTTTCATCTTGTCCTCTACTCACCTCTGACTGAATCATCTACGATATAGCCAGATATTTGTGGTTCATTATCATACTCTTCTTCATAGTCATAGTCGATCCCTGAGGACAGTTTGCTAGCAGAAGGCATCTCACTCACAGGGGAAATCTCGCTTCCTGAGGACATCCCACCTCTTGAGGTAACTTCAAATTCATTAGCATAGTCTCCGGAAAACGGTTCCCCTTTCCCAGAGTAGGTGTCATTGACGTCCAGTCCAGCAGCATAATGAGCTATGGGAGAAAAGAACAAGAAATAAGGTAGAGTGCCTTTCTCACCAGTCAGCTGCAATTCAGGAGAAATGTTTATCTTCTGATATCAAAGCAGTTATTGCATATATGCTATTGTTTATGATTGAGTCACTTATGAAAGCAACTTCACATTTTGCCAACAAGCAAACTCATCTGTTCCAATTACAGAGCTTCTTTCATCAAGGTTTTCTTTTCCATAGATACTCTACATTAATTTATACATCAAAAAATACTGCCAAATAGGCAAATTAACCTAATATACATACTTACTTAACAGGTATTGTCTAAATGATCGCGTCATTTCACATACCAAATGCATCTGTTTGCTAGTATGCCACCTGTTCCATTATATCTAGAACCATAGACAGGTTCTAGATATAAATATCAGATTTTCTTAACACATGCTCACATTTAAAGAAGGCTATGTATATAAAATATAAAAAGTAATATAAATGGTGGTTAATAATAGTAATTACTATCGTTATTGTTTCATTATTATGTTCTTACATAGGATAAACAAAACAAAACAAAACTGGAGCATAGTTAAGATTTGGAGCCCAGAGTTTCAGGCCCCTGCTTTACCCTTTGGATCTCAATAAAACAGTCAGAGAGGTGCTTTTAATTTCTCCCTGGGAGGACGCCAAGCCCTCTAGGAAGGTAAAAACAAAATCAGTAGACAGAAGAGTTAGAGAATTTAGGCAGGAGGCAGCACTCCTGGGTGCAGGACTCAACGACCTCGGTTCCTTTACCTGTAAAGCGAAGGGCTTGGATCACATGATCTCTAAGGGCTCCTTCGGCCGGACTCAAGTTAAGAGTACGGGGGTTCTCCAGCACCCTCTTCCTGGCCTTGAACATCTGGGACACCTGCCCGCTTTTCTCTTCCTCCCAGGGAGTAATCATGAGGAGGGAGCTACCGTGAGCACCTCCCGCGGAACAGAGTTGGGGGCGCCGAAGGGCAGTTTTTGGAGAAGCAGCAGCAAAATTCAAGAGGCGGCAGCTTTCGCCCGCAGTGGGAGAAGCGCCCCGCAGCTCAGAGCCGGGATGTCCTCACCTGAGGCGAGGATCAGGAGCGACAGCACCACGGGCGCCAGCGGCAGCGGCGGGGCTCTCATTGGTCCCTCGGCGCGGCGGCGTCGCGGTCTCTGGGGCAACTCGGCGGGGAGCTGCGGCTGGAGGAGGAGGCGGTGGAAGACAAGGGCCAAGGCCGAATGAGCCGCTGTGCTCGCCGGCCCGGCCGGGCTCGGGCGCCGAGCGCAGCTCAGGGAACTCGCTTCGGGATCTCTGGCTTCTGACTCCCGCGCAGGGGGAACAAGGCGTGAGAACATTCCGAAGGTGCGGCGCTCACCTGCTGCTTTATAGGGCGGGCGGGGACCGAGGCATCGCCCGTGACGTCACGGCCACCGCCGTGGGTGGAGGAGGCCGCCGCCCCAGAAGAGGTTACTACCCCAAAACCATACACGGAGGGCAGACACCCCGCCTCCCTCGAGCCTACGTAGAGAGCCACTGGGAGGAAATGGAAATTAAACCCCAAGCTGCAAGCCTGAAAAATACGAGATCCATAATTTCGGGTGGGAGTGGTGTTTGGGACCTAGTATCTGACAGGCAGTCCCAATTTTTCAAACTCTGTAAAGCACCTCCATACACTTGGGTTGATTTTAATATTACAACAGACAGGGATTAATTAGAAAAGTTCCATATTAATATGTAAAAGTACTTTAAGACCAAGAGTGACGTAATGATAGCCCAATGTCTTTAACAAGGATGAATGAAATTCATTAAATGACCAGAGAAAACACAGCTCCTCACGAGGAGCTTCTTTATTTTTGATGGGCCTATATCTCAACCAAGGGCCCTTTCCCATCCACTATTATGAAATGGCCACAATTTCAAACCATCTTCTTTCCCATTTTTTTAGGTGACCTCATCAAAATTAATATTTATTGACCATTTACTATTGCCGAACTACACACTTAAAATATTGTTACACCATCTCAGTCAATAACCTTGTTCAGTAAGTATCATCTTCACTATTTTATAGAGAGGACAAATTGCAGCTTTACAAAGCAAGGACTTGACATATCTGATTATGGCAGAAGCTAGATGGATTTAAATTTAAGTCGACTTATAAAATCTCTTTCCTCTCCGATAAAGGAATTTAGACTAAACTGATGTTTGAAAAGAGAGTTTCGGGGGAGAACAATACTTAGCATAAAGGAACACTCTCTGCTGGATGAAGGGTGATGCCCAAGACCGTGCCTTTCAAAACCGGTGATAAAGGGGCCAGCTTTCAAGGCTCGCTTAAAACCTAGGAGGGTTCTAATCCTGACGAGTAGATAAAATGAACAGGAGGGAACTGTTTAATATAACTAACCTTGATGTAGAAACAACTCCAGAACTAGATTTTTCTTAACTTGAGGAAGAAGAAAAAAAGTACTGTTCTAAGTGTTTCCTTGTCCTGAAGATACATATCTCTTCCCTGACTGAGTAAAGCAGCCTTTCTAGCAATGTGGGTCACCAAGCTTCTGTCCTAATTCTAGGAACCTTTTTTAAAAAATTTATTTTAATATTATTATTATTATTATAGGCAAGGCAACCCTTGATTGACTTCAGAGATTGCAAGGACTTTGTCAGCTTACAATCCCTTATTATTATTTTTTTATTACTTTTTAAGCCTACAGCACCTGGTCTTCTTAGGTGATCTCTCATTCAAGTACTAATAGGTGGTCTCTCATTCAAGTACTAATCAGGCCTGACCCTGCTTAGCTTCCAAGATCAGACAGGATAAGGCTTGTTTAAGGTAGCATGGCCGTAGACTATGAAACTTTTTAAAAGCTACTTACTTTTAATGGCATATCATAGTGAGTAGTGTAAATAATACCATTGATTTAGTCGGATGAAATAAACAGTCATGATTCATGCCGTCTCTCTTATTCAGCGTTTGTTGAGAGCATATTTTGTGTAATCCACTGATTTTTTTTATGTGTGTGGGGAGAGGGGAATGGGGACGGTAAACAGGGAGATAAAATGATGACTAGCTCTCTGCTGTCCGGGAGTTCAGTGTGCTGTGGGCCAGATATATAGAAAACGAATTCTGTTATATCAGATGATAAAGATTCAGAGTACCATGGAAAACAAAGATGCACTTCAATTTTGCCCATATATCATGGAAAGCAATGTGCAAAGATGAAGAGACCACTCACTGGTGTTCTCAGCAGAAAATTTAAATGGAAAGAATACCTGATGACAAGGTACGACCAAGAATGGAAAATAAAACTAGAAAGGTGGCAATGCCCATTCGAGGATGAAGTAGGGGCCTGCATCGTCATCTTTTTTGATGGATGAGGCGATTGTGATTCAGAGATATTCAGAGCCTTCCCCGCAGATTTCAAAAGATGGTGATTTTGTTTGTTTGGAGTTCAGGCTGTCAGCCTACACTTTTGTATTTTTCTGCTCTCAGATTTTCATTTTGTTCTCATCCTGTTCTTCCCTTTTCTTACTCTTTCTGTCATCAGAAATGTTTAATTTGTTTGAAATCAAAGTGGGCTCTTTACATTGAGAATTGCTTTGTCTTTTTCCAATTGGAAATTTAGAGGGTAATAATTTACGTTAGTGTGGAATATAACATAGCGTCATAAGGGCACAATAGCTAGTGCTTAGTATGAACTTTAGAGTTAAACCAATTAGATTTTAATACACAAATTCCACCACATACTAAGTCACTTAATATTGAAAGATTTGGATTTCTCATCTGAAAATAGGAATAAAGGTACCTACCTGCTGCCAAGCAGATCAAATGAGATAAGATACATAAACAAGTAGCATATAGTGAGTGCTCAAGAAATGGTACTATTATTACTAAGCACGATATTATGATACATTATAATAACCTCATTAAAGAATTAAGTAACTCTTATAAATGGAGCTACTCACAGAGCAAGTGAAATAATCTTCGATATTTTTCAACCATGAACTTTGTACCTACTTCACATTAAGACTAACCATTTTGAACATTTTATGGTGCATCATAGTATAACATGGGGTATCATCATAATTGAATCACAATGGCATTACCCCTTGGTGACTCATGGCATTCTGGAATATATTCATGAGAAGCAACCCAACCCCATGTAAGTGTGGGATTCTTTACATTCTGTATGTTAAGCTGAGATAAAGAGGAACAATTTCAAGAAATTCAAGTAAAGAAGTAACTCACCTAGTTTGAAGTTAAAGGCAGCCCTGAGGGCAAATACTCCTAGCCAACCACTTATTTTGGTGCCTAGTATCTGGTTCCTGATAATATTTTATACATGTTGTGGAAACAAACTGACTTTGACTCTGCTAAAAGGTGTGCTACAGAACCAAAAGTGTGATTACATGTTTGTTATATAATTGATCTTGAGTTTTTACAGATAGTGCCAAAGTCTGAGAAAGTGTTACATTATGGTCATTTTTATGAATTAATACATAAAGCTCCAAACTAAAATTAAGAAATTTTCTAATGTATAAGTAACATTTCCTATGTTCTTAGCAATTGCTTTAGCTCCATTTAAATGTCTATAATTTTTTACTTTTCACCTTGGAATTTATCTATGCTAAAGAATATACGATTTCTAGTTCCTTTAAAAAGAGGCCTACATGAACTTGATTGTTAGGTATCTTGACATACTAACAAAATATACTTATTTACCCTTAATACCCTTAGCATGATGGCTTTTACAGAACAAGGACTAGCAGATGAGGCTGAAGGCAGTGGATAATTTGATACAATGGAAACTAAGTAAATGTAATATGCAATTAACTACATTCACACACACAAAAATGAATCCTCTAGGTAGTTCATTTACTCATCGAGTATATTTGGAGAACTAGATAATCTAGGCACTAGATAAACTAGATAATCTAGGAATAGAACTTTGAAAAAGTCATAATGTCCCTTTTTTAAGGACCTTATATTCTAACTAAGGAGAACACATAATAAGGAAGAAACAATATATAAAATAATTTTCAATAGTAAGAAGTGCTAGAAAAGAAATAAAATATATGATATAAAGGAGTTGGAATGGTGAAGGAAGATGATAAAAAGAAATGCAGGATAGTCCCTCCACTTAAGTAATTCACAGGATAAACAGATGGCAGGATAAAACAGAGAAGATTATCCTATTGAACAATAATAACAGTGTGGAAAAACCAAGATAGGCATGGACAAGAATGAAGGCTAAATAAGTATAGACAAGAAGAATGAGGGATGCTGAACAGACTACAGACTAGAATTGAGCCCTGAAAATGTAGAGGATTTTAGGAGACTGTAGAAGAATTCATTTTATAACTTTCTAAAATACCCATCTTAGTACTGCTAGACAAGAGTTCTCTTTAGCTGACCAAAGGTTAGCTCATCGGAATCGCTTGAGAACCTTTTCAAAATGTACACTCTATTCTCGTCACTTGATTCGGTAAGTTTGGTGTGGGCTCTGGGTCTGTGTATTTTTTAAAAAAGAACTTTCAAGAAAATTCTTATGTACACCTTTGATTAAGAACTACTCCACTAGGGGATACATGGGTGAAAAAAGTCAAGGTATATGCAAGGAGATTATAAACTGGTGGGCTTGCACATTCATGTAGACGGAAGATTTGTTGGAAATATGAAAGATGGAGAAATGAATTTCAACAAGAAGTGTGTGAGTTAGTGTGTTAAAGAGATTTACCTCTAAGATACTTATGTTACAAACTGATTCAAATATTATTCCTTTAAATAGGGAACTACTTTAGTGTAATAATTATATGTCTTTATATATGAAATAGAGAAAATCCACTTTGCACTTAGTTCTTCAGGAACCAATTTATCACATAAATAGAATCAGATTTACACTGAATTATTGTTGGTCTTCCCTAAGTCCATTCTGAATGTTAAGACCAGAAAATAGGATGTCTGCAACCATCAGACACTGAATTAGAAAGCATGTCAAATTTTGGTATGCTATTAATTCTTTATAAAATTAAGATTTCAGGATAAGATTTAGCATTGTATTGTTTCAGAAAAATAATATATTGAAGTCAAATGGTTGAAATGGTCAGAGTCCTTTGAAAGATTTTTACAAACTACCAATTATAGTCA